TCAAAAAGGAAAAAATGCTCTCCACTTATGATACCATATTTATTTTAATGCACTTCACAAAAATCTTTGTTTCTCCCTATAAATTCTTACATACCAAAATGCTCCTTGGCAAATCTACTGCCATTATACTAACTTCTGGCTAATTTCATATTTTGGTCACAAAGCAGGTTGTTCAGTGTGAGAATACTCAGAATTCTTCTTATTTTTTATTTGCTATTCTTTATTCATAAAGAAAACCCTTAGGTATTACTAACCTAAGTCCAAACTCAGATTACACGTAATGGCCTGTCTTTGCCTAGTTTCTAAACACAATCCATTAAGAACAGGATATTCAAACACAACTTGATACCAAATCAGAAAGAACAATGAATCACACCAAGAAAAAGATTTTTAAAAAACTAAAATAAAACAGGGAGGGATGTGAGGTTGTGCATGCCATTGACTAGACAAAGATACTCTTGGTTTCTGAGCATAATATGAAAGTCTCAGGAAGCAAAGTCCAGGATACTAAAGTAGCATACCTTCTCCAATTTGGAATACAACTCTCCTGCTTCATTTTTTCCTTGATCTTTAACCTGCAACTTAAACATGAAATATATAAAAGTCTCAGGAAAAGTTGTAGTACATTGGTCTTCTATCCAGTCACCTCATGCAATTTGAACACAAGCAGCTACACAAAGTATAAATTAAACTTCAAGCGTACAATTGAAAGACATTTTGTATTAGTTGTACAAACCACACTGATCTCTAAAGGACACACACACAACTTCTGTTTTGTGTGTGTGGGGGGTGTGTGTGTGTGTGTGTGTGTGTGTGTAAAGAAGCACTAGAAATTCAAGCAAGCATCATCCCTCCGTCCCCTGAAGCCTAAACTACCTTTTGCAATTTGTTGTGACATTCAGTAGCTTTACGTTTGAATTCTTCAGCTGCCAGTCGGGACTCTCTCAACTCCGATTCATAAAGATCGCTACGCCTGCGAGCTGAAATAAGATCCTCTTCTAATTGATTCATCATCAACCTCATTTCTTCTACTTGAGCTTGATATTCCTGTAGTCATGATGGAAGGGAAGGAAAAGGTATTACATTTTAGAGGCAACAGGGGAAATACTTGGAGCAGCAGATCCCAGAATACTGACTGCAGGCAAGAGGCACATTTAAGAATATGTGGAAGAAAAGTAAAGTACAAAATAAAACAGTAAGAGCTAAATAAAATAACATATCCATGGTATTCTGGTTTGAGTCTTGCCATTTTCAAGTCAATACCTCATAAAGGTCAAATCATTGACTTTTTGAGAGTGGCTTCACTGCAGAAACACATACATACATCTACGTACAAATGATAAAAATTACTTACATTTCTAATTTCTGAAAGAGAAATGTGCCTTTGAGTTGATGTCTCTGCTAAATGCCCAGATGCTCCCTCAAGATATATTTTCTCAGGCTGATAATATGACAATTATCACAGATCTGCACAGCTTGGGTAAAAGGAAAGAAGGAGAAGCAGAGGGGTAACATACTGTGGCTTCTAGCCATCAGTTATTTTCTCTTCACAGACTTAAAAAGGATCATATTGCTCTGTGTGGGAGACAACCTAAAATCAAATATTAACTTAGAAAAACTGTCAAAAAGTCACACTGCCCATAGAAGATATTTGCCTATATAGGCAGAAATAATGATTCCCCATGCAGGACAGTACAAGATAGGACATTTGGATGGGGAAGGTGGGAAAAGAGAAGAACATTTGAATTTACTATCTCAATGAGACTGGGTACTCAAACTGAGAGTAGCTTGTGAGACTTGAAAAAAATAACTGGAAAAAAGAATTTGATTCTGTTTATGCAGCATTTACTAAGTACTGTAAGTATACATTTTGTAGAATTACTCTAAACAAAACAAAAACAAACACCAAAATCAAAGTATTTTTTATGAAGCTAAGAACAAGTAGAAAACATGCACATCAAGAGCTAGTAAAAAAGATTATGAAGGACTGACAGTGGGGGAGTCTATCTTTCTTTCCATTTTAATATCTTATAATACACCTGACTACCCCCATATTCAAAAGACTAACTGTCTCATGACAAAAATCATGTTTGTCATCACTCCTTCCAGCCAGCCAGCTGTCCTTAGTTAGACAAGCGATTGTGTGAACACTGACCCTAACATCACCCTATGATTCTCTAGCAACATGGAGAGCTTATGCAGATATTTATATTTAAAGAAGCTGGGCCTTTAAGAAGTTGCTTTACTGTCCATTACGGGGAGCATAGCAGAATGGCTCTTTGGTTCATAATCCCCAAATTGGTTGTCCAGTTTGTAAGGCAGACAGGGGACCTACTCCTTCCTGTTAGTCTCCCTATGGATGTTCTTATTTTCTTGCTGGAAAGAATTACAGCCTTTTTCTAATAAATGAGCATACATTAACTCAAATATTCATTTCATACAAATACATTTGTGAATAAAAAAAGGCAGAATGGTTTGTAGGAATACATGTTCTGCTCAGAAATCATAATTTGTTAAGATTTCCTAAAATAGCTTTTACATCAGCAAACACTTGACCAAAGAATTACAGGTATGACTACAAGTGCCACTGTGAAAATGAGGTTTGGGAAGGGAGGAAAATGGGAAGGGAGAAAAGAAGGAAGAAGAGGAGAAAATTAGTAATATTTCAGTTTTTCTTGTTTCCTGATGTTTGCAAGACTGTCTTTGAATAAATCTCATGGTAGGGTCAGAGGAACAGGCTGTGTCACTCAAGGTGACACAAAACAATACCTCTTGCATATGCATTGATCATAGTTGAAAAACTATCAAGACGTACTTAAGCACATATTAATGGACAGGCAAAGCTCAGGGCATATACCTGAAGCAAATCACATCAGGGTAGCTGCATACAAATGAGTGGGCCTTTCAAAAAATATCGATTCTGCTTTGTTGCAAGTTCATCCATTCATATGGGTTTTCATCAGGTAATGACCAGAACTCAGGTTTAGTTAAAAAAACCCACAAAACCAAGACAAGCAAAAACCAAACACACACACCAACCAAACAAGCAAAAAAACCAGACAACACACAATCCCACTATGCTCTTCTATTCAAGTATCTGGAGTTAAGATGAACCTACAGTCTTGCCTTGAAAATACCAAATGCCTAATTATCAGTTTTTGAAGATTCTGATTTGCTGTTAATTTTACACATTCTCTCTCAAGCTTCAGGTTTTCAACAGCAAAACTCTAAGGGACTCTTCCATCTCACCTCCCGGTTCCCTCTGACTTGAAAGTAATGATCCAAGTCTTTAATGGCTAAGATCCACCTGCTGGTATGAGTCAGCAAAAACATTTTTGCATATATTTGACAGGTGTAAAAATCTTTGCTGGTAAAAAACTGGCTGGATGGCCAGGCGCAAAGAGTTGCGACAAATGGAGCTAAACCAGTTAGTGGCTGGTCACAAGTGGTGTTCCCCCAGGGCTCAGTACTGGGGCCAGTTCTGTTTAATATCTTCATCAATGATCTGCATGGGGGAATCAAGTGCACCCTCAAGAAGTTTGCAGATGACACCAAGTTGGGTGGGAGTGTTGATCTGCTTGACGCTAGGAAGGCTCTACAGAAGGACCTGGACAGGCCGGATTGATGGGCTGAGGCCAGTATGAAGTTGAACAAAAAAGCTAAGTGCCAGGTCCTGCACTTGGGTCACAACAACCCCATGCAACACTACAGGCTTGGAGAGGAGTGGCTGGAGAGCTGCCCAGTGGAAAAGGACCTGGGGGTGCTGGTTGACAGCAGGGTGCTGGTGGACAGGGGGGTGAATCGGAGCCAGTAGTGTGCCATGGTGGCCAAGGCGGCCAATGGCACCCTGGCTTGTATCAGAAACAGTGTGGCCAGCAGGACTGGGGAAGTGATTGTTCCCTGTACTCAGCATTGGTGAGGCCACTCCTGGAATACTGTGTTCAGTTTTGTGTCTCTCACTACAAGAAAGACATTAAGGTGCTGCAGCGTGTCCAGAGAAGGGCAACGAAGCTGGTGAAGGGTCTAGAGCAGAAGTCTTATGAGGAGCAGCTGAGGAAACTGGGGTTGTTTAGCCTGGAGAAAAGGAGGCTCAGGGCTCTCTACAACTACCTGAAAGGAGGTTGTAGCGAGGTGGGTGTCCATCTCTTCTCCCAAGTAACCAGCGATAGGACAAGAGGAAATGGCCTCAAGTTGCACCAGGGGAGGTTTAGATTGGATATTAAGAAAAATGTCTTAGATGAAAGAGTTGTCAAGCATTGGAACAGGCTGCCCAGGGAGAGGGTTGAGTCACCATCCCTGGAGGTATTTAAAAGATGTGTAGATGTGGTGCTTAGGGACGTGGTTTAGTGGTGGACTTGGCGGTGCTAGATTAACAGTCAGACTTGATGATCTTAAAGGTCTTTTCTAATCTAAACAATTCTATAATTATATGATTTTGTCACAGTGTTCTTGCACATGTTTTTCAGACAGCTCAGAAGACCACCCCAGATGTCAAAGTCTGCAGGATATTACAGATTCGTTTGTTGACCTAAGCAGCATTGTTATGTCATCCTGAATCTTCACAAATTAAAAGATTCTGGGACAAAACATTTTATTAAAAATTACTTGCATTGCTTTTCCTCTGTTACATGTGTCTGTACTGCCTCAGAATCTATTGATATTTATCATCACCAAAAATGTTCCACATTTCAGTATTTAAAGCAACTTTGCTAACAAAGCACCAGCACACAGAGTAATGAGCTTTAGATCCCTTGTATTACATAAAAAAAAACATCTAGAAGAATGCTGTAGAAGTCTATGGAGGCCTGCTACATCCAGGGGGTTGTTTTTGCATTTCATTACTTTTTACATAAGAGCAGCTCATGTCTGGAGATTTATTACCAAGGTTTCTGGGCTTCCTTGTCTCAAACACTGTGAAATTAGTCAGTTAATGTTTGTAAAGTGCCTTGAAGATGAAAAACAACAGATAATTGCAAAGCACTGTTTGAACAGCATAGTAAATTTCAATTTCTTTTTCTCAACACAATATGTTGCTATTAATTCATAAAACTGAACGGGTTCTGTCTTGTAGACCATTTTAAATCCTAAAAATGTCCACATTTGTAACCATATTTTCATTTAATTTTGACATTTTTTTCCTATGAACAACTGTATGGATTAATGAATTTTCAACATTCCTCTGGTGGAAAAAAATTATGAACATCTACTTTGCAAATAGATTAAGTTAGGAAAAGAGCAGTTAGGCAACACAGACTCTATTTTGAAAGACTATTACACTTTTTAAGTGACCAGGTAAGAATGAAAAAAAGAAAACAACACACAATTAAGGCTAGCTCAGTTGTCTCCCAGGTGGAGATTCATGAACATGTGAAATTTGTATAGGTTGACCATTTAAAATGGATAGCTCATTTCTAATGCAGCATATTACTAAAGCATTGCAACTTTCTCCTAAACTGGCTTTATAGAGAAAGTACTTTCAGCACTAGGAAAATAAAAACTTGAAGTTTGAAGTTCATGCTTACTTGCAATATACACAAAAGTGCAATTTTGTTTCATCCCATTTTGTTTAAGAAACCACATGAAAACACACAGATTGGGAGTCATCACAGCCTACCAACATAAAATGTAATCCTGTCAACAGAGCTAGAATACGCCAAAAATGCCTATTTGTAGATAGTCACTCTGCTCCCCGAAGAAGCAGGTATACCTGTTCTTTGATCTCTTGCAGTTTTCGGCTTTGCTCTCTGATATCATGAAGTAGCTGTAGTGCCTTATCATCTTCCTGAGACACCTCCATCCGTGCCTGCTCCAGGCTTCGCTTTAAGCTCTGCAGAAAGCAAAATGTTCAATACATAGTCTTTCGTTTTTCAGATGGCTGTATAATAAACATTTTTAGCTATACGAATGCCTCCTTGAGTGCAATGAGGCATCAAAGAAATAGAGGCACCAGTGATGGAACCCTAAAGAAATTCATGGCCAGTGCTGCTTCTGTCTGGATAGAAGCAGCCCATTTTACAAATACTGTTTACTATACTTAAAACTTAGAACTTAGCTCTACTTCCTCACATCAGGTTTAAAGACAAAAAACAAACAGAGATCACAAAAGGCATCCATTATTGACAGCATTTATCTATATTTTATCTAGCACTATTACTTCACAACCTAGATACAATCCTTCAACTTCATGTTACTAACAAGCCTATTAATTTTTCTTGTTGCTGTTAAGCAAGTTAAATCCTTTAATCATCATTGAACTTCTACAAAGGACAGAAGAGTTGTTTCTGTATCTCACCACATACCTTACCTGCAAATTTTGACAGACCAGTGGTCCTCCTATCAACTGTGTATTATTCTTCAACAGAAAGATACAAAGTGATTTTTATTTATTTACTTAGTAACATTTGGTATAGGAAAATCACTCAGCCTCATTTTAAGATATGCTTCCCAACAAACCAACCAATCAGAAATGCTTTACAATTCTCTGAAACAAAGTATTATCTGGAGTTTTGTTCTTGGTACAAAAGAGGAAAGAGAATATTATACCCAACTGAAAATACAGAGACTATTAACTAGAATGAAAATATCCTCACTGGAATCTTGCCAGGACAACTGGGCAGACATTCCAGCTCCCATGAAAAATGCCAAACAATCTTTTGAAGACAGGTTTTAAGGCCTCATTTTTACATTCTATCTGAAAAATATCACCTGTCCTAGCATCATCCCTGACATTACGCTGTGGAACTGGATCACTCTGAACTCAGAATACCACCATTGTTTCCTAATAGTCTTATTTGTCCTTGAAGGTTTCTGCCTAGGTACTGATTAGGCCCCATCCTCTTCTTGCTAAGAAACCTGTAAGAAGTCAAACCCAAGCATGTTCTAGCACAGCCAGTAAGACAAACATCACAAATAGTTTCAGCAAGATCAGGACAGTAGTTAACCCTGTATGTTCTAAGAATATGACCATGAAACAAAGTTTGAATAAAACTGTCAAGGAAGACTCTGCAAACAATTCAGGGCTCCCATATTCAACAGATATCCTCTCATTATTTTCTCTCCATCAAGTACCCCACTGAAACCATAATGGAAGAGAAAGGCAAAGACCACAAGATTTCAGGTCTTCAGAGCTGAAAGGACAGGTGTAAGGGCTCACACTGCATTCTGTGATATAGGTGGCCAGGTCCTGCTCCAGGAGGGATCGCTGGGTCTCAGAGGCTTTCAGTTCCACCTCCTTTTGGCTAAGTACAGCCTCCACCTCTGACACTCTCCGGTGCAACCGCGTCATTTCCTGCTCCATCTGCAATAAATATCAAGAGGTTATAAAGGGGGCTTCAAAAGCTTTGTTAACTGCTACTTTGAGCTCTGTTGAGTAGGAATTTGTCTCCAAGAGACCTCTAGCTATATTTCTCCAAATGGTGTTTAAATTCCAATACCATTGTCTCTGCTCCAGGAATGCACAGTTCTTCTTAAGGATAAGTAGTAAGTCTAAGTCACCCCATTCATTCAAGCTGCTTGTTCGTATTCAGTCATTCTTCGAACCCCAGTTAGCAAAGAAGACACAATCATTTTTCACCTGACTTGCAGAGATGGGTCACTTTAACCTTATCCCAAATCCATGCTGGACCAGAAGATGGTTTCCCCCCATCTCCTTGTCAGGAGCAAATGGTCAAATCCAGAACAGAGCAGGCAGAAAAGTAATCGAACTCTCATAAAAGTCTCAGACAAGCAGTAAGTTTTAAAAGACTCCACTGGGTTCCCTTTATTGGAGCACAGCAACTGTTATAAGATGTTCACCATAACCAGTGACGTGACAACAGTTACGTAAGCAGAAGCTGATGAGTTAGGGAGAGAACCTCAGAACAGTACTGCTGTAATTGTGCGTACGATGAAGAGGCACGGCCTGCAGGAAGAAGCAGTCGTCTGTGTCACGCTGAGAAAAGGACCGTTTAAAATCCAGAGCCACTTCTTGTTAAGATAAAAGTATCTAGAGCAACAGCATGGCCTAAATTCATCTCCCTTTGTGCTGGACAGGAAGCCACCTCACTGAAGGAAAAGCACTTTGCCCACCACGAGTCTGGATGATCAGCAGCATCTGACAGATCCCTGGACATACACTGGTTGCAGATTCCTGGAGCAATGGAGACGGCCAATCGCATAAATAAATACCTTGTGACACTTCTCCTGGGCGTCTTGGAGTTCTTTGCTCTTGAGAAGTAGTTTCTTTTCCATGGAGCTGACCTTGGCTGGAGAATCCACACTTGAAAAAACAGATCTAAAAGAGCAAAGCCAAACAGCACATGAATATAGGCAAAAGGTACAGAAATGTGCATTTATGCAGACTTGGTAAAGTCATTGGGTACTTACTTATACCAGGATAAAAGAAAGGGGCAGCAATCACAGTCTAACAGCCATCATTTCAGATCAAACATACTATAAAACCTGATGACAGTATATCATTATTAAATAATCCACGTGTGCTTCTAATTACAATATTAATATTTTCCATCGGTGACTTTTACGTCAGAGTGCAAAACAATAAATCACAGCAACACTGTTGCCTAACTTGTACAGATTCATAAATGTAACAACAAAAAGTCAATGTAACCATTTGGAAAGATAAAAAATTTTCAGGGAACTGCTTTTTATTTTGTACTTTATTTTTAAACAGGTTTTAAATTTATCATCAAAGTACAAAAGGCCTAAAAACTTTAACATGTTGTAATCTCCACCACAGGAAGAAGAACTGAATATCCTTAGTTACCTTCTGTGAATCAAAATTGAACTGAAACTTTTCTAACCCAATTCATATGATCCCTACGAACTCAATCAATATCAATATGATTAGTCACACTGCAGAACCTCAGAGTTCCACTTATAAGTAATTTTTTGCATGAGACAGAACTTAACTGTACTATTCAAAACAATTTGACTCCAGAAACCTGCAGAAAATATTTACATGTTATTAAGCTTTCTGTCTAATTGGGACACAATATTTAAGAAGTTTACCATTTCTGTTAGTCTAAATTCATTACAGAAAAGGATAGGAAGCCACTCAATATTTTCGAGCATATTTTTAGTGCTTTGCAGTCTTAAATATGTAATTTGCAACCAAAAAATTAAGTACACACACATCAAAACATAATTTTAAAAATCACATTCTCCCTCACATAAAATTATTCAAACTAGATATTTAAGCAGTTGATGATGGAACCACTGTCAACTGATAGATGAAAATGCAGAAGTACAATGAAGGTGCTAATAAAAGATCATACAGTCTGCCCACACATTGCTTTCTGCTTCTCCTGGCCACAGTTTGGTATGCAGCCAGTTATCCCCATGGAGAGAAATGAGCTTTGAGCAGCTCTCTGCATATAGCCATACACCCACACACAGCAGTACAGTCTCTTCTTAACACCAAGGAAAGTTTGATTCCATCACCACCATTTTCTGAGAAAAATCTACTGCTTAATCCAAATAGATACACAGGATAATCACAAAAGAGAGACACGTGGATTTTTATGAAAATGCTGCAGCAACATATCTGTATCCAAAGAGGTATCTTCAGTACCACCATCTTAAGCAGTCATTAGGAAACACTGTTTTGATATTAGCAAACAAACATAGCAAAATGCATCAATCCTGCCTTGAAAGGTCAAATATTAGTATTTCTTCAGAACCCTGATATGGGAAAAACTTAGAAGAAAGAGTCCTGCACATCAACAATATAAATATGATCAGGACTTAATAGAAAACAAGCATTAAAAGTGAATGCTTTTGTAAAGCATTCCTTTAGCCCTGGTCAAATCAATCCGATCCATCAAATTGTCATATTTAAAAATCAATTTATAAAGTGTGTCTATACTCCTACAGAGAAAAGGCAACCATCTGAGAAAGATGCATGTTAAATCTCATAACAGCTGGGTGTACAAACAAGGCTAAAAATGAATAGTTGAGAAAAGCAGTCTAAAAATACAAATTAAGACTCACATTAACTAAAAAAGACACTAAGAAATCTGCTTTAAAATGTTAATCAAATATATGTAAATAGCTGCAAATGTGTACTGAGACAAGTCTGAAAATCTTTTTGTAATAAAATTTTAGCTTTACAGGTCTGAACTGTATTGGCTAAAGCAATTTTTGTTTTAATTATAGTTTCAACATTAGCCATCACCTTTTTACTTTTATTCTTTTCAAATCCAAGACATTACCCAAGAACACTCTAGCCAGTTCTCACAGACCTGGTTTTATTTGCTGCTTCTATTTCACCTCCCTAAATGGGGCTTGTTTTATTTGTTATTTTTGCTTATTTGCTATTAAAAAAAATCAGAGCTGAATATTACAGGCACCATTTTGCATTTCAGAAATTTCTCCTAGCAAGTCAGCTTACAGCATGCATACGCACTGCAACACAGGAAGTAACAGGACAGATTCAGGGAAGAAGACACAGAGCTCTGCAAAGACACGTTGTTCAGCCAGGAGTGATGGGATGGGACAGAGTACGAGAGACTCTCACTGACCGAAGTTTGAATTGCGTTGGGTGACTGTAGAGGGAGCCGCTCCTCAGGGTTGATGTCAGTTTTGTAAGGAAAGAGAAGGCTACAAACTAGAACTACAATCTTTCTTCCTCATCCCTGTCCAAAGGGAGGAAAAAATTCCTTTAAAACATACGTCCTGGTGACACGACGATTTTCCTGCCATGGAAACAGGACATCTTATCCCCAGGGGAAGCTGATTTCAGTTAGCACTGGACACACAGTTTTTGAAAGACATCCTTTCCCAGTAATTCTTTCCTGTGTACAAACTATATCAGAACAACTTAATGAACACTCATACAACCTTCAAAGTATCAGAAAGAGGGTAGAGAGAAGAAATCAAGAGAAATGGAATACTGAGTAATCTAATAAGCCTTGTCATGGTGATATAAGTTCCCAACACAGCATGACAATGTGGAAAATACCCACGTTGCTGGGGCACTTATATTCTTCCTCAATCAGCATCACCTCAGAAATGAAACATGTACAATCCAACATCAAAAGCTATGATGCAAAACTATCATTCAGGTTGGTACCATCTCAGAATATTTCATTTAATTAACTGCTACATCTGGATCAATTCTCTTAGCACAACAGAGCAGTTTCTGCTGTTTCCTCTGAATGGGGCGGGGGGGAAAGATTAACAAAAGGTAACCAGAATACATCACCAAGAAAACTGCAATCAAAGGCTAAGAAAACCCAAAGTCAAGTCTATAGTACCAAGCTCTAATAGCACTAGCTCTGCCAATTTACTTTCAAAAGCAGCACTGCCTGCATGACTAAAAAATAAGTGAACTTAGAGCTGACTAGTGATTTCACAGCTCAATCAGCAACAGCCTCAACCACAGAACTATCAGAAATGGTGCTAGCTGTGTAAAAGCTCCTCCAGTCTCAACATGGCTGAGATGAAGAAGAAAAAAGTATTAGTATAGGAAAAGCTAGAAGATGATTCTGGGATATCGAACTTTTACTCTTTTCGTACCTTAACCTCTCTTGTGCATCATACCTCATACCTTCCTTTGTCCTTTTATGCCACTCTCGTAAACCCCCAACTCACCTGTGCTTCTTCCTTCTCAAGATTGACACCATCTGTCCTAATCCTGGCCCCCACACAACATGCCTATAATCTCATCCCCCGTCCCTCATGCTCTATTCTTTTTAGCATTATACTCATCTGTACCTTCCGCCCCCTCGTAAATGCTTGCTCAGGCCTAAAAAAAACCCAACCAAAACCGAACAGTGATACCATCAATCTGTGAATAGAGCTAGCTGAAGCAAAGCATATTTTTGGTATGCTCATCCTGTGCTTCCTCTTTATCTATCTTTGGTGAAAGAGTTTATCAGAACCCGACAAACTGTTGGAAGAAACCAGCAGTCCTTCTTCTTGGAAGAATGGCCCATTTTAATGCTCAGTATTTTATGACAATCACAAATCTGTATCAAATTTCAAAATAAAAAAAAAGAAATCTTGTAAAATACCACTTCTTCGGAACTTACAGAAAAGATCTGGACCATCTATTAAAGCCTCACAGACCACAATTCAAAAATTATTAGAATTACATTTATTATATTCTGATAAATAATTAAAAAAAATAAAACCCTATCTCAGCAACTGAGATTAGGTACTAGTCCCACAGTCAGCCTTGGCTGCAAATATATCTCTAGATTCTGGTTTAACAAGTATTTTATATTAACGTAAGTTTTGTATCATAAGTAGTCAGGCCTCTTTAGCTCCTTGCTCCGGTCTAAGAGAGGACAGAGGCAGGCAAAAATTTACATCATAAACTATTTAAATTAGGTATTTATTTTTATTAGAAATTTTGGTATATTTGTTTAGCACTGGATTCATAATATATTTATCTTATGCTTAAGGACCTCTGCTAGTCACCTGCAAAGGACAAGAACAATTTTCTTTCTCCACTTGGTGCACATTTCTGGAATCTAAGGGGTTTTCTGACTTAGTCTAAGCACTGAAGATCCACCACAGTTAGGGGCAGGAAATAAGGTGGGGCTGGCTTTTAAAGGAATTAAACTCTCAGTAGCCTGTTTTCTTGTCACAGTCACATACTCACAACCAAACCAGCAGCCAGATTTGCAGTCAGACAGGCATTTCTCCCCCATATCAAGAATTCAGAGGCCATGATGAGAGAAGGAGTTAGGCTCGTCCTTCTCTGCAGCCTGGTCCCAGTTCTTAGAATCATATAGGACATTTATTTAACAAACACTTTGCTCATATAGGTTCCTATAGGTTCCTATGACATAAGCAATGCCCTTGATTTTTCCTGATTGCTTCCAATGACACATTATTGTCATGCCTTTTTTTCTTTAGTTAAATCTTACATTTGTTATAGGGTGACAAATTCTTCCAAAAACTCATGGGGCAACATACAGAACATTTTAATTCAATGGAGCCTTCTAAACTACACACTGACTATATGATTTCTGGCAACAGGTCTAAGTGACTTAGGTGAACCCTTCTAACCCTAAGTGGTTCAGGCAAAGGAGAATGGAAAAAGAGAACTCTTCTCCTTCTTCTGTCCAATTTTTTAACTGCCTTTTCGCATAAGTATTTGAAATTCCTAGCTCAGCTATGGCTTCTTACTGTCCAGTGAACAAGAGCAAGACTATAACCCTAAGCTTCATAGCTTGACAGACCTCAAACTAAAAGCAGTGAAAGTTTCAAGGACCTTGTTAATGGCACTCTGCAGTTGCCTGGCCTAACTATGAGCAGCACTAGAGGCGTTAGAGCTATCATGCTGCAGACATAGGAAAACAGATCTGCATCACTTAGCAACCATAAGGTTAGACTTTCAGAGGAAATATTTTAAGAAGAAAAACTCTGGACTGATAAACTTGGTGACTTAGGACCTTCCAGAGGAGACATCCCAAGATGCACAACAGACAAGCTTACCCCCCATTTACTGTCTTCCTCCCATCTAGAATTTGATATTCAAGCTATTGTGGACAGAAACAGTACTTTATTTCCTCAGGTAATACATCACACAATATTTTATAAGTAACAAGTTATCTTTATGACCCAATGTTGCAGTGATACCAAGAATAAACTAGTCACTGCATTATTTAAAAACAGGTATTTTCAAGCCTCCATACACTCTTTGCCATATTTAAATCACCTTCTTAAAACAAAATACAACTATTTACTGCTAAAAATATCAAAGTGCATTTATCAAGATCTCATTCAAAAAAAGAAACCACTAAGATCTACTTATATTAAAATTATTTGGGGGAAAAAGAAGTACGTGATGTCTTTCTGTTCCAGCTCAGGAAAAAAAGAGGCCACATCAAGCAGAAATTTTACTTCAATCAAAATTTCTCCAGAGCACATGTATGTGCATATTCTTTTGCTATGCCCCTTCTCGTCTATTACCAAAATTCAAATATAACTTCAATACACATTTTCAGTACTAGCTCCACAAAGAAAGCATATCAATCAACCTGCTACATCTATTTTACTTTTCAGCCTTCAACCTCCAGCATAGTTACACCACTGTTCCTGAGACTTTACCTCATGCTTCAGTTCTAGTCCTGGGCCCTGCTTACATATACATTTTTACCATACATGTACGGTCACTGGTGAGCCTCTTCTGACTGTTACATGAATGGTCATGTAGCCTTGATAAATGGATTGCAGTTCCCCAGGCAAAAAAGATAACACTGTAAGTTATGTCGCTTCTGAATCAAGACATTTTAACCCCAGGTATCTACAGATATAACATTCCATTTTTCTAATTCTGCTGACAATGTTAGATCATTTCACCAAAAGAATACTTTTTTGGTTGTTATATCTTCTCTTTCGTCATAAAAGCAACTCTGCTGAGGAGGAACAGTCAAAGATTCCCTTTTTATTACTGGCATAACCATCGTATAACCTTGATTCACGGTGTGGGCAAGATCAAAGATGTCAACAGTATCACCAGATTTGGTTACACACTTACCGCAGAGGAACTATCACAACCAATATGACAAAAAAATGAAAACTTGATTAAGACAGATTGACAACGAAGTCCCTTAAGGGAACTAACTAGCAGCAATGAACGATGGTTGACACGAAAACACAGTGCCTTAAGTGCATTGAGTCACTAAACCAGCTAAAGCCATTGCATTCCTGAGAGGCATCATGATACTGAGGTAAGGACTTCTCAACTTCACGTACTGCACTAATACTTTTTCAATAGCTCTGTCATCAGAAACTAACCACCCACCACACTGAATGGTTTATACCATACTATTTATAGTCTTCTTTTTCTCCGACTCCATTCTCTCGGAAAGCCCATTTTCTTTCAACTGAAAAACGTTTTTTCTAGATCTTTACCTCCCTCCACAAATACATACTCTGCATACTTCATCTGAATCCCCAGTCTCTTAACACACAATACAGCAGTCTTCGTATTTAACTTGACCCAACAGCACAGTCAGCTGCCATGAAGCTCCTTCTCTTGTTCACTGACCCACCACTGCACATTCCCAGATTAGTGGAGCTCCATTTCTGTGGATCACTGATTCAGCCTTACCCATCCCCAGCACTTGGTGCCCACTCTCTGACCCAATAACATAACACCCCCACTTTTCCATCTCTGAACTCCTTAGTATTCTCCTTCTTTCAGGGATCTGCAATACCAGAAATGCAATCACCTACTAGTCCCTGGTTAACAGCAACAACTAATTCAAAGTCTTTGAATGACAATTTTAACAATAACTGTTTTAGAATCAATCTTTCCATTCCTTTTCCTCCCCCTCATCCCAGAAATAGTCACAGAATGGTAGGACATGCACAAGTCACAGTAGCAACAGATAAAGCCAGAATCTGGCAGCTTCCCTAAAGCAGTGTACAGGCCAGTTAAAACAGCTTTTTCCCCCACACACAGCATCCTCACTGTAACAACCCTTCACATTTTTCCAGTGGTCCTATGCACCTAAGCAATAATTCCTACTTACTCTGATCTGAGGATCCCTAATGCCTTGCTGAATGAAAACCCCACAAACGGCAAATCTTCACCCGAGAAGCCTGCTGGGTTCAACTGGCGCGTAGAGGATAAAACCCGTGAATTCTTCTCTGGTTCATCAAAATTTGAGGTGTCATCGTCAGACTTGAGGGTAGGAACGAAGGGGGGAGGAGCTGGGAAAAAAAGCAAGAAGAAAAGACAAAATTCAGCTACTGTTCACTCTGCAACAGTCCCACTCATTCAGTGCTTGCAATGGCACTGCAGCTCCTGCTTTTAATCTTGCTAACACAAGCAGACTGAGCTGCTGCTCTCAAATCGTATTACAGCAACAAGAGATTAACCCTTAAGCTACCAACATGGCTACCACTCTGCAGGCAGAATGTCTCCCACACTGATTGAACTGGGTTTTAGGTTGGGGATTTGAGATTGTTGGGTTTGGGTTTTTTTGTTTCAGGTTAGGGGTTTTTTTTTAAACATATCCATTGAATCAAAGCACCAGGCTAAGAAAATCATTACTGTAAATATATATAGCTAAAAGTAATTCAATTCTAATTCATCTAGAAAAAGCAAATGTCTCCAATCTACCCACAATTAGTGACACTACATGAGAATGTAGTCTGATCCTTTGCTAGTCATCTAAGGGATATATCTACCCTTTAATACTACCAAGAATCTTCCCAGCATGGGTTTCTAACCAACAGCAAACTGGTCTTTCTCCTGAAAGATTCTAATAAATGATAGCTACTAGAAGCTAATTGGTCTTTAGGAAGGGAAGAAATATCAGTAAGATTTTATTTCTCCAAAGGAGCTTGCTAAAGATCTAGAACTCTTGTTGGGACACCACTGCAGTCTGGCTCGGATACAACCAACTCTGAAGAGAGGTATAAATAGCAGGAATTACAATGTATTTCTAACTATAATTTCTAAATTGGTACCACTTAACTTGTTAAGCAGTTGTTTAATTTCAGCTGATTTTCTCGCATTTGCTTCAGTTTAATTAACCAACAGAACAAAAGAACAAGTTCTTCTCAATGATGTGCAGCACCCAAGCTACCTGCTGGCTTGGCTATGCATGTGAAAGGAATGAATGCAAAAAGCCTGCTGTGCAATTCCTACCTCATTAAATCACGTTTTCTAAGATACTTTTTTAACGTTATTTCATCACTCAGGTCCTCACTCACTGCAAATCTACTAATCTCTTTTTTGCTCTATAAAGGAGACAGCTCTTCAGTCAGCAACTAGAACACAGCCCATTGTCACAAGCTGATGGAAGTGTAGTGTGCTAAAACCGTTACCATGGATCCAGTATAGATCTCCTGTAGCTGAAGGGCTGATGAGAATTGAAGAACCAGGAACAAACATTACAACCCCTGCAGTGCAGGCTCCCTGCTCCTCACTCTCTGCATGCTCGGAGTTTAACCCTACCTGCCTGCGATCGTGACAGATGCTGGTGCTTATCTGACTGACAGAGGCAGAATGAGTCACGGCTGGAGCTTGCTAGCTCCCTCTAGGTTGCCAAAGCCTTTCACAGCCCGCTTTTTAACTCCTCATTCTCTAGACAAACGTATGCTTCAACTACCCACCAGACCAGCATTAATAGCGCACGCACCGCCTCCCCCCCAAAATCTGTCTGTATAAACTGCCAAATCACAACTACACATGCAGGCTTTGTTAACAGCTCCCCAAGGAGCCGTTCTGACGCTGCTCCCAACCAGGGAAGGGAGAAGAAAGTCCATGAAGCAGATAGGATGCTGCTCACGTACAGTACTTCCAAGACATTAGAATGAGATAAATGGGGAAAATATACAAATTAAATAGGTTCTGTAGTAAGCAGTTTTACTTACTAGCTCCAGAACATTTAAAATTTCTGTCAATATCATGACTTTATTAATTTCTGCTATTTTATTGGTTATAATATAAATTTAGACCCACTATAACACTGACATTTATGTACTGTAAACATAATTTTGGGCTACAGATTGTTGATTAGGATTGGTCTTTTTTTAGAAATTCACTTAACGTCAAGATAATGTCCAGATATTTTTTCATATGCTCTTAATGATTAAAAACAGAGAAGTAACAGAAAACAGTTTATAAGTATAGCATCTTTAATGCAAATATAAGCCCAAAGTTACAGTTAATTCATAGCAGAGGAGGATAAGTTCAGAAATTAGTATTTTTTTAGTTTAGGACCTCTGCTGAAAGAACTTTGCACATCATTTTACAGGAAGGGGTTGCTGTGGGGTTTTTAACACTGTCTTTGAAGACAGATACTGTCTATGAGGTAAAGTAATAGAGAAAACAGCAAACTAGACACTTCGTCTGGGGAAGTCTAGAATCTTTCTTAAAGAGATAGCAAAAAATAACATAGCTGTCTTTTTATAACGGTATAACAACCCTGTTATATATTCCCCAGAGTTTGACAGATAACTTCATCTTTGAAAGAGAGATCTAGTGTCTCACTTCTCACCAGAAATTAGCTAAGAAGATCTTAAGAGTCATCTTCAAGCCTTTGCAATTAAAAAGAAAGCCTTTCCTCTTACCAACAGTAAGAATTCCTAGTCAAACCACATGCATTAAAAAAATATATAATTTAAATATGTCTTAGATCAGCATGCACATAAAAAGATGAAAAGCACTCAATAGGGGAACAATGGATGCAAAAAGATAAAACTGAATGCGAGACAGAGCAAACCTTTGGGGCTGGTGGGAAACTAGTTTAAAGAGCACAATGTTTTACACTACAGTTTCCTTTAATGTTTAATAAAAGATGTGAACAAAGAAGAGAAATTGTGAACACTAGATTAAAAAAATAATGAAAAAATCATTTGCCCTCTATTTTTCATTCACTAGAAATCCATGACTAACACAGTCCAAAAACTCTGCTACTTTGCAACTTTACAATATTTGTATCAAGAAATAGTAGCAACTAAAAAGAGAACTTAGAAAGAAAAACACCCCTAGATGTTAAGTAGTTCTGAGCTGTCAACAGTAACTGAAGACAACAAGCAGAACCTCTTCAGAACTTTCAGGACACTGAAGAAAAACTCACTCAGGAGTAAGAGGGAATATCTTGAAGGAAAAGAAAAAGCTAGATCCACTCTCTCTGATTTTGTTAATTATTTGGTAGCTTCTTCATAGTTCTTTATTCCTAAGACTAGGAGTCATTTGTCTGATGTCCAAAATATCTACAGAATAAAAGGAGTAGTCTTGTAAAAACAAGCTGAAACAGACAAGTAATTTTGTTCTTCAATGTGGGTCACATGGTGACATAATCTCTAGTTAAATTATTATTTCTTCCTTAAAATCAGAGGACTGTCACAGAACTATAGTATTTTCAGAACGAGATGAAGATTGGTGAATGCAAATACATTGATGTGCTTATCAGTTGCTTCTTTAAAGGGAAGAATCCTTTAGTAGAGGTCAAGATAAGCCTCTGAGAACTAAATGTTAAAACCATGCCATCGCATCTGACAAAGTGAAAAATTTACACTTTTTTCAGGCTCACCCAAAAGAGAGGCAAAACTATTACTCAAAAAGACAGTAAACCCGATGCTTCTACTCGTACAAACTGGTTAGGTATAAAGACCTCTTTTTGTCTCCGAAATGTTACAAACGAATGTACATGTTCTGTTTAGCATTTAAAGTATCTTGTAGAGAACTGCATGTTTTAAAAAAGCCAATTGCTTGCCTAGATACCTCCCCACTTGTGGAAGGATGTAACCCTCTTCCATCTGTTCCAAAGAATGACTTTCAAAGGAAAAGGGGGTGTTGTAGGTTGCTGAGTTAAAAAAAAAAAAAAAAAAAAAAGAAAAGAAAAGAAAAGAAAAGAAAAAAGGGAAAACCAAAACCACCACACATACGCTGCAGTACTTTAACCAGTTCATCATTAAGATTGGATTAAACGCCTCTTATGGAACAAACCTTTTTTTAAAAAAAAAACAACAAACCTCTGCACTAGTGTGTGTATTTATGACTAGTTCAAGCAACATCGCCTTAACCAGATCTTTCCATCCTTTCAAAATAGTTTCATGCAAATTCAGAAAAGATATACTGCATTTCCCCTGGGACAGTGAAAGACTTAACTGAAATAGGAAATTCAGAGAAAATAAGGAACATTTCTTAGGAATAAAAATGTGTCCTTTCTTGATCTACAAGGTGATCTTTCTGAGGAAAAGCATCCACACGGCCTTTTTAAGTAGGTTAGGCATTACTCTTCCTCAGGCTTTGAGGCCTGTGGAAGTGTTACAGAAGAAAAATAGAAAATAGAAAGTCCAAGATATGTAATTTAAGGACATTTTCTCTAAGACCACTTAAAAAAAAGGGCATTATACTAGTTCTAACCATTCTATACAATATTATTTTAACATCTTTTCTGTTCTGTCAAGACAATGATCCAACACATACATTTCTGTTAATAAAAGTGATCTTCAAGCTGACATGAAAGTGATCTCCACTTAGAGAAATAAGTCAACACATTTTTCTGAAGGCAAGCATTTAAATGAAACATCACAATATTTAACTGTTAACATACTGAATGACAACTTGAGGTTCATAAGGATGAGGAAGAGTCTTGGACTTATGACCAATGAGATTTGGGTTTCTGCCTGTTTTATAGTAGAAGACAGACTAAAAATCAGTCTTCAACATTTTCTGTTTTTTTCAACATTCTGTTTCAAGTTCTTCTATTTGCACAAGATATTAATTCTTTACTTCTCATATATAGTTTCCTCGTGCAAGTCCAAATATGTCATTCCATTTTCAAGACCTTCTGGACTGCAGTTACAAAACAATTCTTAAAATGAAAGATTCTTTATGCTATGCAAATATATCACTCAGATGACAATAAAAGTCTGACCGTCTCTCAGCTAGCCTTCAGCAGGCAGACTTTTGGTTCCAAATTAAACAGCTGATGTAATTTATGGATTTCAAATAACAAAAGGTGATTAACAAAATCCCCATATTATATAAAATGCAACCTTGTTACTGATAACTCAAGTACGTCATTCCCCCATTCTCTACCCCGATTTTAGATACTTCTCAAGTACTCAAATAGTTCTGTTAGCAACTTTCCAGTTAAAATCCTGATCATTTAACTGAAACAGATAGAAATACATTTATTCTAGGTAAATAAATTCCAAAATAGTTTCAGAAAATTCTGTCAAGTAAATTAACACAATGTCTTGAAAAATTTGGTGGGGGGTGTCTGTTCTTTTGTTGGTGGGGTTCTTTTAGAAACTTTAGAAGTCATTAAACACCAGGAATCAACAAATACAGAGAGCAGAATCTATAAATATGTTTCCGTACAGTAGACCAAGGAAGGGGAAAATTATCTGTTGAGACAGATTCAGTTAAATCTGACCTTAGGTTTAAATTGGATTCTATTTCTGTAACTTAAGAGCTGCTTCTACGGATACATGCTACTTGAACCCAAGGAAGCTGGGAGGTTTTTTAGGGGCAACTATCTTCTGGGAAGGGGTTTAATGAAAAGTCAAGTGTTTCATAGGTTACCATAACAACAAAATGTAACACTGAAAAACTCTTTAATGACACATTCTTAACCAAAGTGGGTGCATTAAGAATGGTTATCCTGGAGCTTCCAGCGTGATAATTTAAATATCTGCAAGGCAGGGGTACCAATTTTTTCCCTACCTTTCTCAGTCTGAAATAGAAATAACATCATTGCTTTTATAAACTAGAGGGAAGTCTGACTGTGCTGACACAGAATTTATTTAACAATCATAGAATCATAGAATCATTTAGGTTGGAAAAGACTTTTAAGAGCATGGAGCTTAACATTCCATACTCCCAAAATCTTTGATCAAATTAACTTGAGGGAGAGAGATTCTTTAATCTAAGTCCTGTGTCCTCTTCCAGCACTCACTAGCTTCCTAATTTTCTCAGGCTGCCATTGCTCCAGTTAAACATCACTATCAGTGGAGGTCAAGATAAGAACGAAACCTTTAGCTTTTAGATAGTCCAGGTCAAACCCGACAAGGGTTTTGAATAGAATGACAGCAACACTGCTCTGAATAAACCAGCAAACGGAGAACCACTGCAGAGAGCAAAGCAATAGGTGACGCATTGAATCTGCTACTAAAAGCAAGAAGACTGCTGTGTTTTGTGCTAGTTACAGTGGGGTTTTATGAAGTATGAGACAACACAACAAAGTCGGGGATCAAAACTGCATGAATCTTCACAGTAGGTAGGTCCGGATATTACAGGGAATGATGCAATCCACTGGCCAGCTGCAGACAGAAATGGGATTTTAAAAATCCCGAATCTTTATTTCAACATTACAACAACATCAGGGCTGCCTACCAGCTTGTCCATCAGTATCACCATTGCCACATGAAATGGCAAAACACTCAGTTCATTTGTGCAGTAGTGAGAATACTGGACAGACAATTGCCAAGGAAACACCAGAACATATGCTCACATGCCATTTTTTTCCAGATCTGAGCTAATATGATCCAAAATTTCAGAAAAAGAAACTGGTGGCTTAGGCAGGGCTCTGGGGAAAGAAGGCAGAGTGACCTGTAGTCTGGGAAATGTATGCTAAAATGATGAAAAAGACTCAAGGCTCAATGGCTCTCAAAGGGCAGAAATAATGGAATTTAACAGAACAGCAGCTCCACAGGTTCAAAATTAATGAATCAACAGAAAAGTGAGTAAACATTCTGTGGAGCTGACAGCTGAAGTGCTGAGATAGTCATCAAAAGTAGAAGCACTAGCTTAGCAATTTATCATGGAGAATGGAGCACAATCATTGCTCTTACAGTATATTTGATAAAAAATATAAGGCAGATATGTTTCTTGCCCAGATAATCTTAGAGTCCAAATAATTTAAAACACTATCCTAGTCAAGTCAAGCACTCATACATAGTTCATCGATGATCTGTGAAATATTTGCTTTTGCCATGGAGCTGGTGCCTCAATACTTCCAAATACTAAATTCCATTGCTTCCATAGTATTAGAAACATTTTTCTGTATAGAAAATTATCTGCTTCACTAGTTTTATTCTATTCCTCGTGGAATGAGCAGATCTTTGACAAAAAAATTTGTCATATATTAGCTATATTAACTTTGCCAAAAAACTCCAATGCCCCTATGACCGCTGATATTTTATCACCTAAAGGATCTAAAAAACCCCAACAACCTTAAATGAAGTTGGATCACAAGCAATGAAAGAGAGAAAGCTGAAGACACAACAAAAAAATAATTAGATGAAGGCAAAATTAAGCAAATTGAGTTGGAAAAGGCATGAAAGAACATACTGACGCATTTTAATCTGAGGAAGGACCATTTTGATTTTCCAGTCTAATGCCTGCAGTAACATGGCAATTGCATCAGAAATTCACATAGAAGGGTATTAAACTTCATCTTACCTTATAGTTTTCTCCTGAGAGAATATGTTAACATATTCTGATATTCTGAAAGATATGTTAACATATCCCATCCCAAAACCAAAATTAACTGTTTTGTTAAAACACCTGCTCCAGGACACAGTCCTGTTTCATTATGAGTAATTATTCAGATCAAACACACCTGAATACTAACATTGTATAAATTTTCATGTTACCCAAAGAAACAGGAATTGTTTATAAATACAGTATTACTCTACTTACAGTTACGGATATTATTCCAGTCAATTTTAGAAAAAAATGGATGGCAGCAGAGTCCCTCATAATCCAGCCTTTCCTTCTGCCCACAAAGCAGGCTCTGGATCAGGTCAAGAAATTCACTACTAACTTTCACATCCTCTGGGAACTTCAGAAATCTCTGCATTAGAAAAAAAAGGATTTCTGCTCAGTAGGAAAACACTCCCAGAACAGTAAGATTAAGTTGCATTATTCTGAGATATGCTAGGCACAAAGGATAAATATTTATAGCATACAAATAAAAGCATTATGCATTTTTTACAAATAGGCTTTTATATGCATTTACTACAGTAAAGATAAGAACATAAGAACAACCATTCCCACTCAGACAAATGGTAGTCCCAGATCACCATCTTATGCTGAACAATGGCCAATGGCATACACAAATGGAAGAGTAAAAAAAGACACTTCCCCAGAAAATTCTCCCAAACATCCAAGGATTTGTGGCTTTGGATTCTCTGAACCGGGGATGATGTCTTTGTATTTGCCAGATCTCAATGGATTCTTATATGAATTTTCCTAGTCATTCCTTGAACACATATAAACATTCAGTCGCTGCAAACTTACAGCAAAGAGCTCCACAGCATGAGACTGCGCTATATGAAGTATCCTTTTTTGTTTGTAACATAGTTACTGCTGGCTACTTCCACTTAACTGTCCTAATTCCCGTATTAAATAGATAATAGGCAACCATTCTTTGTTCACTTTCCCCCAACTACACATGATTCTTTTTTTTTTCTTTCCTACTGACTCCTACCATTCTATGTGCTGCTTTTTGGACTGTTACTAAGAAATAAACTAACATTTGCATAGATTATAACATCAAGATACTATTCTTGAGCCCACCACTGCATAAAGTTGGGATACTTTTCCCGTCATATGCATTGTTTTATATTTATTTACACTAAATTTCACATGATGTTTTAATCATGCAGACACTCAATATCCTCAAGTCTTCTTGCAGCTCTTCATAGCTAGCCCTCGCCTTTACTATCCAGAAACACTTATTAAGAACCAGAAACCTTATCAATCCACAGTTCATCCTTTCAATCCCTTTTCTAGATTATTTTGGAAATGCTGCAATTACAGTTGCATAAGATGGACAGCTACATCTTTTTTCATTCATGCAGGCAGATGGCTATTTTTAGACGCTCATTAGAAAAAATAACCTGGTATCTACAATACAGAGAGAGATAAAAACAATATAAAGCATACATTCTACGTATTTTATGAACACGACAAAATAGATATCCATAAGCTTTGTTTCTCAACTGTAAAAACATAGTCTTTAGTCACAGCCTTTTTACTCAAGAACACGGGAGGAGTTCTCTCTACCTGGAAGTTCATGATGTTATTGAAAGTTTTTGCTGAAGTCCCTTCGGCGAACGGAGATCTTCCATAAATCATTTCATACGCAATGACTCCTAGAGACCACCAGTCGCATTCTGGACCATAAGAAGCTTTGCCATCCCCATTCAACCCTGTTAGCATTTCTGGTGCCATGTAGTCAGGTGTGCCAACAGGTAGCTTAGCATTTACCTAGAAGCAAAAATACACCAAGTGAAACTACAGCACTTCCTGTTCATTGTGATCTTGGTAATAAAAAAACAAACAAACAAAAAATCTTTGTTTGTTTGTTTTTTCTTCTTTTTTTTCTTTTTTAAGTAAGAGACAATTTGCACTCCTCCAAGTGAATTTTAAATAAGTAATTTGAAGCAAGGCTGTTAAGCAAAAAAAGTGCAAGGTTAAGGAAACTGCTGATAAACAAACAGAAAGCAAGCCATTTGGTGTAAAAAGAGTCAAATCACCAGAGTTAACTGTTACTAGAAAGCACAAACAGCTGAAGTAGAAAAGCAGCATTCTAAAAAGCACAGAATTACTAAACACTGATGTTTTAAGCAGTATACATACTCTAGCACAACTGCTTCAACTAGCATTAACAGGGACATCATAGCTGAAATTTCAAAATTAGTCAAATTTAGACATAAATATTCCCTGCCCTCATTCCATTCTGTGTTATTCCTACCTTTTTACCTTGTGTTCATGACGAGCAAAGTACTAGTATTTGAATTTCTGGAGTGCTTAGAAAAGGTAATTCAGGAGCCAAAACTGTAATCATTTTTGCACTGATTGGCATAAAGAATGAAACAAAACAGCAGGCAGACTAACACAAAAACCTTAAGATGACTGAAAAGATAACATTAAGGAAAAATCTAAAAGAAAAACTTAATGCAGAAAAGCACTGAAAAAGGAAGAACAGGGAAAACAAAATATTAAGAGTCACAATACTAAGAAAATGCTATGAAAAAAATAAAAACTGTATAACAAGACAGGAATCTGCTATAGAACTTCATATTGTCGCTTAGATATGTTTTAATTTCAAATTATCACTTGAAATGGTATGCAGTTACCTAAATTTACATGCAAATTATAAAAAAAACCTCAACCAACTCACAGCTTTGAATATAGTGCTTTCTGGTGAGTAAAGCCCAGAACATTGGAATGTGACTCATTTCAATTAAGAGCTCCCTGGTCTTCAATACTGTTACAATAAACACTATTTTCAGTTCAGTTTTGAGCAATTATAAATCCAGGTCCTTCTTTAAACACAGCATTGAACAGTTGTAAGAATCTCTAGAAGTATGATTTTGTATTGCAGTGCTGCACCCTGAGAAAGTAACTTGCCTTTACCTTACTTGTGTACTAAAATTTTAGTAAGCAAATATGTATCTACCAAGCTGCAAAAGATACTCGAGCTCATGCTTGAAAAGCCATTCATAAATGGAAAAATATCACTGTGAATAGATTCCATACTGAACAAGAAAGGCAGAAGAACAAGGTGTAATCAAGGAACAGATAAAAAGTTAGTTTTCCCTTTTTGACTGGACTATCCAAACAAGCCATAGACAAAGTTTAAATCCACATTATTACCGCTTTGTTCACTGTCATTTTGGCAGCTGACCCAAAGTCCACCAGTTTAATGTGTCCTGTTCGGTCAATAAGAACATTCTCTGGTTTGATATCTCTGTAAGCAAGAAGAAAGCAATCACTACCTTTCCATATCATTCCCCACTGTCACATCTAGATAACAAAATATCCTTATTCAGCTACACTCAACCATGTGCTCAGTTGCATAAAACCTTAACAAGTGGGAGTCTTATTTCCAACTGTTGTTCTGTTTCCAAGCAAATATAAAAGTAGTAAAGTTCCCCTTATTTCATGGAAAGGTAGTAATCATTGACAGAAGATGGAAAGAGAAGGTGGTTTTGCACCTTGACTACATTGTAACTGAGTTACAGTAAAGTATTATGTAGCTTTCTTCACAAATTTCCTCACAACTTATTTTGTACATCTTTCAAATCCAGCCACCTACCTCGCATTAGAAAGCCACAGCCTATGCTCTAAGTGCAGCAAACTACAGCTGCTTGGAATGTAAAATACTTCATAGCATTTCCAAAGCCTCAGAATGGAATAAATTTATTAAACACCAATATGATTTGAAAATGCATGCAGTAACAGCCTTCAAGCCTTGATACGATCTTTAGAAAACTGTGGTATTTAACTACTCCAACATCCTATACTGCCATGTTTACCAATCAGCACACAACAAGTTCTAACAATTACACTAATTTCCCATACTACTTGGTGCTAAAAGCAACAGTCTCTGGAAAAGATTTTAATTTTTCTAGTGCCACATTAAGGCTTCCTTTTACTAAGCCTCCAGAAAATACATCTAACAATCCTTTCTTGATATTAGTTTGAACTTTACATCAAAGTTAATGCCTTTAGCTACAATTATAGTTGGAGTCTGATTAATTTTCTAATTTTCTCTTCTGATACAGCATGGAAAATACTGTCCTGAAAGAGGATGGAATATCAAAAAAAACCAAGAATGCATCATTACAGAACACTTTTTCTGGAATGATACTGATCAAATATTATGTGCAAAGCAATCTTTACCTACCGGTGTACATAACCCATCTGGTGGACACTGTGAATGGCTAAAACCAACTCTGCAAGATAAAACTGCACCATACTCTCATCTAGTTGGTCCTCATATCGGTTTAAGAGTGACAGTAAGTCCCCTCCAGGCTGATACTCCATAACCTACATGAAATTTTAAAGGAACAGATATAGTTCACATATACAAAAGATATTCCATTCAACTCCTCCATATTACATGGGACACATGTCAAACAGTGACATGTAATGCAGGAAAATTTACAGAAGGTGAGCACACTTCAACCATCACATTGTTCTTGGCAATAGCATTCAATAGAGGAGAAAAGAAACAAAGACTAGGCATTACCAAGTACAGACTTTTCTTGTCTTGAAATGCATACTGTAACTGTGGAATCCATGGACTGGTGCTCTGAGATAATATGCTGCGTTCTTCCTCAAAAAATGACACCTACAAGAAAAGAAAGTGTTATATCATGATGAAAATGAGTTAGAATACATTGGAATCCCCTAGTTTTAGAAAGATTTGAGTCTGTGCCAAAGGTACACATCACAAAAAAATTACACAGAAATATTAAATGCTATTTCCTTGTGATGTGCACCTTTAAAAAAGTAATTTTATTCCTTTGTGTTTTCTGTTGCCCTCACACCTTCTGTTGTCTAGCTTGCTTTCAACTGAATAGCCCCTGCAGCAAAGGCCAGCTTCCCTTTCAAACTGATGAAGCATCTACCAGTCTGGAGTGCAATTTTGATTGACCTCATCTGGACTGGCTCTAATAAAATAAAACTCATCTCAAAAGAAAGAGACAAGCAGAAAAGAAGCTACAGCAATTATGGGGTAGTATAATTCAGTAATAAATTCATTGTAAGGCATTAAAATACAAGGCTTTCTTAAAATCATCCTTTAGCAACTATTTAATTATTCAGATGTGCAGCCAGAAAACAAGAAATTAATTTTATTACAGAGATACTGCAAGTTCATTTAGATCAACATTCCCTATTTTCACTGACTCGCACTCAACAAGACTGAGCAAGTGTCATACTGAGGGTAGTATCATACTTTGCTTTCTTGTAAACCTATGCTGTAGCAAGAGTAATTTTAGTTTATCATCTTTTCTGATACCACAAACAACGCTAAAGGATCTCAGGAGCAACCTAACTGCACCATATATTGGGAATAACTGATGCAGATATATTGCTGTATAAATTCACAAGGTCTTTCATGGAGTATCTCTGTCCCACTTCTCATCTCATGACAGTAAAAGATTAACTTCTGTTTCTCACCAAACTATGATAACAACCTCCATTATCCCTTTTTTAAGTTTTCAAGTAACACATTTCTCAAGCTAGTGAGAGGCTCTCCATAAAAAAACAGCCACCACAGTTTGCCTTTACACCCACTCTTGACATTCTACATTGCTCTTTAAAATAAAAAAACAAAAAAACAAAAAACAAAAAACTCAATGAATAGATTGCCTGAAAATTCAAGCCAACATCAAGCTGACCAATACTGACCCAATATTTTCTTCATCTGGTTTTTCTTGTCTTCCAATTAGATGGCAGGCTCTTTAAGACAAGGGTCATTTTTTGGTTTGGATGGCACCTCATCCAATAGATTCACAGTCTATGACAATGGCTTTTAAATACAGTAAAACCATACACAAATATATTATTTCACTGAAACGTAGGATGATCCTTCTCAAGATACACTTTTAACTTAATTCTAATAGCAGTGACAAAAAGGAAAAGTTCAAAAATTGTAACTTATTGTTCTACTATCATAACAGAAAAATATACATACATGCTCCTGTGCCAACAAGGACTCCTTGCTCATCACCTTCATAGCGTATACATCACCAGTAATTTTCTCTCTTACTACTTTTACATCTGCAAAGTGACCACAGCCAACCACATTCTTTACTTCAAAATCCTTCACGCTGGGTTGCAGGTCCCTTAATTCAGCTATAGTCTCTGAATCTACAAAAATAAAAAACTTATTTTTACATTAGCCAATTAGCATTTCATAACAAACACAATATCAAAAACGGGGAATAAAAAAAACAAACCCATTTAGTTCCAGACTCTCAAGGAATATTGAATCTTCTTTAAAAAAAGCTAAAAAGCATTAAAAAAAGCATAAGAACTAGAAAAAGACTGTATTGATGCATAGTTAAGACTGAAATATGGTACTTACAAAAGAATCAGGAAATGTTACGACAGTTCCCATAGCAACCATAATTCTGTCCCATTCATGCCACCATAGGCTGATAGCCTCTTTTGTTTCTAATTTCTTTCCAACCATCCTTTACCAACACAAAGTGTATTCTCTAAATATGAGGGCTTTACCCAGCCGAGTTCTACGAGTCAAGTGGCAGGGTTTTCTCTGCCTGTAGGAGGCACTAGTCTATTGTCTAACAAATAACCGCAGACATTTATTTCAGCTACTCGGTTCAAGTTTTCCATTGACTAGTTTCCACCAGCATGCACTGTAACAATCATTTGCTCACTGTAGCTTGTTCTAAAAATTCTTCAGACTAGCAGAAAATTACTCTCAGCTAATAATATCTAGAAACTGTTGGATGGAACTATTATAGAGAGAAGTTACTTTTAACAAAATGGCTTTCTAGTACATCCAATAGAAAAATTGATGAACCTTTTTTTTTCTTTTCCCCAAAAAGAATCTGACTACATTATCAGTAAAATGTTTACTCCAACAGAAATTACATTACTGAAGCACAGAACTACTATTTACAAGTTACACATGCAAAATTTGGATAACACATGGAATCCAAAAGATTATTTCAATCTGAAAGAGCCAAGGATTACCAAGTTCCTTTCTAGAACTTTTTTCCTAATACCTCTAGTCACTGTCCTGCTCTCAACTTCTGACATCTTTCTCTTGTGAATACTTGGAGCTTTGCTGTATGCAGTACTCAGACACTTTTAAAGAAAGTACCTCCTCAAGTATAAAGATAGCACTGACTAAGAAGGATGCACATTCGAGTCACAGCACTTCAAAAGTCACTTGCATTTGACCTTTTTGGACCTGAACAAAGCCTTACTAAGATTGCCAAGATCCCCTTTGCAATGTTGAGTCTGCCACAAAAAGCCAGATGGCTCAAAGTCCTGGCTACAATCATTAATGAATCTAAGCAACTAAAGCATTATTTAAACGTTCAGATTCTTAAGAACTGTCTCAAAATGACACCTGAAAATTAGTCTAAACAAACTTACACTTCCTGACAAAGTTGCCAACATGTTTAATTTTCATTAAAGCAGGGTTTCTGCATTCTTCAAAAAGAACGAATAAAGAATCAAGGATGACTTCCCGGGAGAGAGGAGACATCTGCTGTTGAGTCACAAAGAGTGGCTTCCCCTGGAAAAAAAAGAAGCAACGGCAGATGGAGTCTCTGACAACAATGAAAAGCATCAAATCAATAACATATGTATACAGCAGAGTATATATTATCCATTTAAAAATCACTACTACTTCAGAAATTAGACAAATGATACAGAAGTATGAGGTAAATATATCAACTCCCTACGCCTATCTGTAATAGCAGTTACAGGTATTTTACTTTTAGACAAAACAATCCATTAAAGATTGTTAAAGTTCAAATCACAGCTTTCTTGAAACTATCTACATCCTACTGACAACTCTGGTCTGACTGGCTTTTTTCCTGACATTGCACCACGTGGGTTTTTTCATGGTACAAATAGTTTAAGCAATCAGTATCAATATTAGCTCTAGAAGGAAAAGCTGCTGAGCTTCAGATGATCAAATAGCAGCTGGTTAGGTAAATCCACCTCATGACAAACCCTCACCTACATCACCATGAAAAAAACTGTGGATTACAGGACACAGAATGCAATATTCCATCTTTATGGGGGAAAATCCTCTCAGGCTAAAACATCAACAGGTGCACACAAACATAAGACCAGCTATGATCCACTGAACTTTGTGCAAACTAGATACATGCTTTGAACTTCAACAAGTTGTCCCCTTTTTTTACCCCTTCCTCTAAAGAACCACACAGGCACTCTTTGAGTGTCCCCACAAACAAGCAAAACTGTGCTTTCATATGCTGGGTATGGACACAAGCAAAACCGAGGTCAGCTAATCCCAGGCCAGATGCTCTTTACCTGAAAGAGCAGATTTAGCCGAGAAATTCGGCTGGTGATGGGTTCCATCGGTCCTGCCTCTACCGGATTTCGGGCACTGCATTTGAACTTCAACATCTTTAAAAGATCACCTGAAAAAGATAAAAGGGACTTTCAAGCAGAGCCACTTTAATAGATGACTTTAAATTAAAAAAAAGGAGGTGGGGGTATAATTTCAGCAACTTTTTTTTCCCTGGAGACAAAATTTATTAAAACTTGCAAGCTTGAACGCACCCGGAGCGTCACAGCAATTAACGTGTTTTTGGCAAAGGCGGGGAGAGGAAAGGCAGCAGACGGAAAACAAACCCCGGCGGTACAGAGCCCCTCGAACGGCGGCCTTTGCGCTTCGCGGACCCGCCACCGAGACGCAAGAG